CCACACAATCCATACCAATCCGGGTGTATGTAATTGACGCCCAGATTCTCCATATAGGAGGCAAAACCCTCGTTAAGCCAGAGGTCGTCCCACCAGTCCATTGTGACCAGATTGCCGAACCACATGTGGGCCAACTCGTGAGCTAACCATTACGTTAAACATAAAAACATCAGATCCAGCGATAGGATCACTACGCGAAGACACACTTACCGACAACAATGGCCGTCTGTTCCTGAGTCTCGCTATTGCTTTCGTTATCATTGTATAGCAAAACACTGGTGCGGAAAGTGATGAGACCCCAGTTCTCCATCGCGCCGGCGGCGAAGTCGGGCACAGCCACCAGATCCAGTTTGCTCAACGGGTATGTGATGTTGAAAAAGTCTTGAAAGTAGCTCAGGATGGCGGCGGCCGACCGCAGCGCGTAATCGGCCTGAGAGTCCTGTTCCCGCGGCACCACTGCCCTGATGTTCACTCCCTCGCGAGTGGTGGTGGTGTGTGTGTTGAAGTCGCATACGATGAACGCAACAAGGTAGGTGGACATGGGAACCGTTGGCTCGAACACAGACATTATCAGCCCATCGCCATCGACGGGCAGGTCTGTGGACTTTTCCGAGTTGAAGAACGCCTCGAACGCCTTGTCGTGGATCAGTTGCATCGAAAACGAGGCTTTAATCCGCAAAAGTAATCACAAATAAAATCAGTTAATTATTTATCATAAGTTTTTTTAGTTATTCAAATGTTATAACACAAGCAAAAATAATTAGTAATTACAAATTATTAATTTAACAACTTTATGAATTAAAATAAGCTAGACAAAAAATCAATAATAATCTAGATGAGTTACAAAGCCTCAAATGAAACAAAAACACACAATGTAAATGAAAATTGCCAAATAAACCAACACCAAGTGTCAGGTTATAGACTGGCCAGTGGTCTGACATATAAAAGGGACACAGAGAGGACATATGGTTACCTTTCAGGGCCGGCTCATCAAAACAGGGAAACGCCGAGCGGGCACTCGTCGGCTGGAAGTGAGTGGTGAGCAGTGACTTCTTGGCGCCAGTCATACTGTCCGTATAGGTGCTCACGTAAAAGCCCTCCAACTGTTCCTCGAGTTGGCGCTCAAACGTCAACCAAAGCGTATAATTACGGCCGGGAGTCAACTGTCCGCCCAAACCGATGAACAGCTGCTCATTCTGGACACACTCCAGATGCCGGACGACCGGTACGCGAGCCTCGCGGACCAAATCGGTGACCAGTATTTCGGTGATGTTGAGCTTCTTGGTGTGGATGACTAGAAAGTCGGTCCGCCGGGTGACCGACAGCCACACCTGAACGCTGCCCGTGTTGTAGAAAGTGGTCATATTGGGCCGCATCGACAGCTCGTACCGCACGGGCACTATGAACGCCGGCAGACGTATGTCCGGCCACGGGAACAGTTCACCGTTGGTGGCCATCAGGGGCTGCGATGTGTCGCCGCTGCCGTCGTTAAGCCTATTGTCGTCGGCGCTGTCGTTGATGGCCGCAGCGGACCGGGTGTCCGATGAGGACAACTGGCCGGACCAGCACTGGTTGTGAAAGGGGAAAAAGGCTATGATTAAGGCGATGATTGTGATGACGAGCAGCGAACACAGGCCCATAGTTAACACGTTTGATTTGCGCCAATTGAGCACCGAATGTGTCTGATTGGACCGGTGGTGATGACGGGCGCCGCATAGGCCGCGCCCGCAGGCGGACGACTTGTTGCTGTCGTTGTGTCCGTTGCTGTCGGCACCGGTGAGAAAGGCCACGTCGTCGATCTCCAACTCCGCCATCGGTATTGTCATCATTCACGGGCCGGTCACGGGTCGGGTCACGGGTTTGGTCTGTCTGTCTGTCTGTGTCGATGAGTTGTCTTAAATCCGTGGATCAGTTGGTGTCCATTAATGGTGATAATTATTAAGTCAACGGCGAGTGGTATTTAACGGCAAAATGAAAACTAATCATATGTTGTGACAATTTACAGGACAAAAAAGTCTTTAGACTTTGGCACAAGTTTTAACACATAATCAACGGATCAAATGGGAGATAACGGAGACCACTATATGACAGATCACCGGTGGATCAATTGTCACGGTACTCACTGATTGTTGACAACCTTCTTCTGGTTCTTCAGACCGGTTCCCGGATTGTGTGACACTTTATTGGCTGTGAGTTTAATGACATTTTTTGTTAAATGCTTTTTTTGTTGGTTTGTTGTTNTTGAACGCAACGGAACCGCATTACGTGCGATGTATTAAACCCAACGATAATAAGGGTGGCTTTGAGTTCAACAATATCCGAGCCGTTCAGCAATTGCGAGCGTGCGGTGTATTGGAAACCATCAGAATTAGTTCCAATGGATTTCCCTCGCGTTGGAGTTATCCTGATTTTGCCAATAGGTATCGCGTCTTACGGATCGGCACACATCGAAAGTTTGCAAAGAGTGGCTCTCAGAGTCAACAATCAGGTGAATCACTGCTCTTCTAATTGCCATTGAATTAAAACTAACGATTGTGTGAACACTCACTATAAGGTCCGGTACCCAAAGCCGCGCCACGAAAGTTGTTGAGAGCCGGTTCGAGCACTTCCAGCGAAATTCGAACTCTTTGCGAAGATATTGTCAAAATTGTTTACGGTTTGTATTTTGATTGTCTCCGCAATCATCGCATTAAACGCTATTTTATTTGACAGAAGAGAAAGTGTTTTCCAAATTGAGTGGTGAGAGTGAACAGCAAACACAGGCGCAACAGTTGTTCCAATTCGGCAAAACCAAGATCTTCTTCAGGTCAGGACAGGTCGCACTTCTGGAGCGCATCCGAAGCCAAAAGCTGAAAGAATGCGCTGTTCTTTTGCAACGTATGATCCGTGGATGGCTTGTGAAGCGCCGCTACCTTAAGATTAGGTTCACAATAATGCGATTGCAATGCTATGGCCGCGCATTCCTCGCCAGAAAACTATACTTACACTTAAAGCTGACCAAAGCTGCCACTCGTATACAAACCAAATGGAGGGCTTGGAGTACGAGAAAGAAGTTCTTGAAAATCAAGAGAACCGCAATTGGGTTACAACAATACGGACGCGGACTCATCGCCAGAAGGAAGTTCTTAACAATCAAACAGCATTTGGCGGCCGTTACTATACAACGATTTTGGAGGGGATATACGGCTCGTAAAGCATATCAGCAGAGGATTCGTCGCGTGATTATCGTTCAATCATTGATCCGTCGATTCCTCGCTAAGCGGGAGCTCAAGAAACTGCGAATCGAAGCCCGAAGTGTTGAACACGTGACTAATCTTAACAAAGGTTTGGAGCGAAAGATCATTGAATTGCAGCAAAAAGTGGATGATTTGAATAGTGAACGAAAGGCTTTGATTCAAACCGATGGCGAGATTTCTGAATATAAGAGTCAATTCTCACGATTTGAGACCGAAATTAAGAATTTGAAAAATGAAATGAAACAAAAAGACATACAATTCCAGGCATTAGAAGACGAAATGAATGAATCAAAGAATGTTAACGAAAAGCTTACCAAAGATGTAGAAAGACATAAATCTAAAGTCAATGATTTGCTAACAAACAACGCGAAGATTCGTCAAGAAGCTGATCCCAAACTCATCGAAAACGCCGTTCGAGAAAAAGAGAAATTATTGATCACTAAATATGAAAAAGAGAAGAAGGCTTTGATTGATGAACGAGAAAACGAAAGGGCGTCGAGACAACAGTTGCTTAGAAAATATATGGCTCTCGAAGACAAATACCAGAGCGGAGGTAGAGGTGAAGACGACGACAGGAGTCCAGGTATTGACTTGTTTTGTCATATTTTGAGTCGGTATTAATTGCTGTGTTTTGCAGACATATCGACGGTGTCTTTGATGATGAGATGCAGTGAATTAGAGCAGGAATGCGCGAAATGCAAACAAGAGAACCAAGAGATGCGCGAATTGATTGCCGCGTCCGCAGACCTCGACGACAACGAAAGGGGCGCTTCACTGCTCGCACAACAATGCGCTCAAATGCAGATCGAATGCGATCGCTATCGGGAGGAGAGGTCTAATCTGAAGACTATTGTTCTCTCACAGGAATCCAATATAAAGGACGTTAGGTTTGTCTACAATATTTGCATTTCTTAATATTGAATAATATTGTGATAAGATATGAATCGTCAGACTATCTTAAAAGTGATTCATATGATTTCTGTTTAGTATTTGTAATGATTTCATGTTTTATGTAATATTTAGTGGCGAAAGTGAATTGATTTCTGCGTTTAAGGCAATCATTAAACAACTGGAATCAGAACTCGACGAAACAAAAGAGAAAAATGAACAAATGAAGTAAACTTTTGTTTATAATTATCATTTGACTGGAATTTAATTGAAAATAATTATGTGTTTTAGAAATGAGATGAATTCACTGGTGACTGATAACAATAGACAACAACAAGTGATTGGCATTAATAGCGAACCAATCGCTGTGAACGGTAGCGAAGATATGATCACTCGATTCAAACAAGAGAATACTGTTCTTAAGGAGAAGTGCGAGAAATTAGTTCTCGAGAACAAACAGATAAGAATGGATTTAATGAGACGAAAGATACTCGAAAACGGTATTGATTTTGTACCCATTTTTTATTTACGATTTTATGTGTAATTATGCGCTAAACTTATGATTTCAGATGAGGACGAAGAGGAGAGCCCGAACCAAAATGATTACCAGAATATGAATTATGTCGGAATGTTTGAATATAAACAACAAAACGAGTCACTTATTCTTAGAATTCTAATTAATGGTAACTCATTCTAGTGTTACTTTTATATACATGTATTTAAGACCAATTCACTAATCAAAGCCAATTCATTGCTTCATTCCTTAACCAGATTTGGAGCCGACTGTTGCCCTCAAATTCCAGCCCCACATTCCCGCATACATTCTTTTTATGTGCATTCGTTATACCGATTACAATAACGATGACGTTATGGTAATCATTATATTTAGATGTTTTGTTTTATATTCTCAAATATATTGCTTAAAATCTCTAAAACATATATTTTCATTGAAAGGTCCGAAGTTTTATGAATAATACGATTCTGACGATTAAGCGCACAATTAAGCGAAACACAAATGTCGAGACTTTTATTCTATGGCTTTCAAATACATGCAAATTAATCACTTGTTTGAAACAATTTTCCGGTAATTCTATTACACGGCTTCTAAATATAAGTTTGAAAATACAATGATTTTTATGACAATCACAGGCGAAGAAGCATTTGGTGAATTTGACGAATCACTTAAAAGCTTTGACTTAAGCGAATACAGACAAATGTTTAGTGACATCGCCATTTGGATTCATCAGGGTTTGTACTCACATGAACGCCACACTTTTGAATGCATATCTATAATCATATATTTGAACCGATAATCATTTTAGGTGTCATTAAACAATGTGAGGAACGAATTCAGAGTCTTATTGTTCCGGCAATTCTCGAATATGAAGGACTCGCTTCTTCGGGAATGTATTCGCAGTCCATTCAAAGGTCGGGTAGCGTTACCGACGACACAAACCTCTCTCCTTCTCCAACAGAGAAACCAATCGATTCGCTCATCAAAGAAGTGAGTTTTCAGCTAATAATCACATTCTTGTATTCTTTGTTTCAAAATTAATTTCATTATGTTTTCGAATCGTAAAGCTTTCGTATTTGAATCGAATTCTGTTACTTCACGTGATTGAAGGCGATATAATCCATCAGATCTTCAAACAGGTATTGTAATCACTTATTAAGTAATCAATTGTGAGACTAATAGTTATAATCCATGGTTTGACAGCTGTTTTACTTCATGTGTTCGAGTTCTTTGAATAACCTATTGTTACGCAAAGACTTATGTCATTGGAATAAAGCGATGCAGATTCGGTTCAATCTGTCGTCTTTAGAGCAGTGGTGTCGCGAACAACAGATCCCCAAATGGAACGAATGCGTCGAGAAGTTGGAGCCCATAATACAGGCCACAAAACTTCTTCAGACACGTAAATCCGAAGAACACATCCCAACGATCGTCGAAATGTGTAATAAACTCAGGTATTTGTCGATTCACTCTTTGTTGAGACTTATAATTGTTAGCGTTTATTAATTTTATCTGTAATTAACGTACAGTTCGTCACAAATCATAAAAATACTGAATCTTTACACCGCCGGCGATGAGGAGAGGATTTCGAGTAACTTTATAAAAATGGTTCAAAAACATTTGGCTGAACAGAGAAAGACAGAGGGTTTGTGTCTACTATTCAATTGTGCGCTTTGGCTATGGATTCGTTTAATATGTTGTTTGTTATCATTTTTAGGCACAAATACAACACTTTTAATGGACACAAAATACGCGTTTGCGTTCACAATACCATACATTCCAACGGACGTCAAACTTCAGAGTATATCTCTTCCGTCTGTTTTAGTCAAGAAGGGTTTGGCGACTGTTCTCAAGAAGATTTGAATTTACCATAGATTCAAAGTTTTAATTAATGATATATTCCATTCATTGAGCTTTATTTGCAATTATTTTATTTATTTACATATTATTAATTTATTAAGACTGAAATGATATGCTCTTAATTAATGAATTACTTTTTCACATTTAGTTCAATTTAACACTAATTTAATTATTTACTAAAATTAAAGTGAGGTTTAATTAATTCCAAAAATCGATCACAAAATAACGGTTAAAGTACTAAATAAGACTTAATAAGACTTTTAGTCTAATCTTTTTTTATAAGTGTTATCAAAGAAATTGAGATTATTGTTAAATTTCGGCACTATTTTTGTCCATAATTTTCCACAAACTTTGTTCAAAATAATCGATTGATTATCATTTCAAACACATTCCTCTACTTATGGATTAATATTTTGCCGAAATATATATTTCAAAGAATCAAATTATATTGTATTAAATAAATTAACAAATTGTTAAATGACTTAATAATTATTTAAGTATAGAATTCATTCTACTATTGGAAAGACATAGGAATTTGGTTTGGATTTAATGTATAGCAAAATGTAATGAATTCTTGTATTCTTTGTGCCTAAATATTGTAGATTTTAATTATATTTAAATATTCATTAAAATAATAAATTATTAACTATTAAAATAGATTTATTCAATTTAATATAAATTGCATATTAATTATTAGTTCTAATTATAAACATGTTTTAATATAAATAAAAAGTTCACCACTTGTTTGGTTAAGAAAACAATTTTAAGGCATTTGTTAATTGAGTCTAAAATATATTGAATTCTATGTTTAAATGACTGATTGATTGTGAGGCAGAAGTTGTCGATCACTGATTGGATTCAATTAGGAATCATTTAATTGGATGGTCTGGAGTGAGGCTTCAGTATAAGCCGTCCGCAGTCATCGCAAGACATGTTGAAGTCTTGGAGCACTTGTTTGACTCGTGAGACCACGATCTGAGGCGTAACCACTTTTCGGTGGACACCAAACATGAATAGAGCCGTCAATAGAAGACAACTGAAGGTAAAGAAGAGGTGATTGAAGAGCGAGTGAACGAACGGCACCTGAGAGGTGATCGGATCCAACACCCATTGCAGGCCACCGACCAAAGTGGCCAAAGACATGCCGAACAGCACTATCCGCCACATCCGGGTCTGCGGCTGAAGACAACCGATCACTTCAGTGAGACGTCTCTCGAAGGCCTTGAGATCTGATGGGATTGTAAACACAATTTCATTATCACTTCATTTCAATGACACGCTTGACGTCAATGTCTGCACTCTTCGGACAATAAATGGCATTATTTCGCACACTATTGGTCAGAGCGAAGACAAGTGTTGTCCATACCTTCCTGAGCGACATCGCAAGACATCATTATCACCACAATTCACGCAAAACACTCAACAGTCAGACAATCCTTCAGATAAAGGGTTTGTTGTGTTTGAAAGAGAGGACGAAAAGCGACTCAAAAGGCGATACAATGGCTGACGAAGTGATCGCTTCTCAAACGGCTGGCCCTCAAGAGGACACCATTTTCGGCAAAATACTCCGCAAAGAGATCCCAACGAAGTTTATATATGAAGACAATCAGGTATTGACCACTAATTGTCTCAATTGTCCACAATTTGCACAATCATTGCAAACAAAACACGTGTTTTCGCAACAATTTGTTTGTTTTTATTGGCATTTAATTTAATTTTACGATTGATTTACACTTTAATCGAGTTTTTGTGAATTCAATGAATGAAATGATGTCTGAAATGAGTGTTTAATTGATTGTTGTCTTCACTGACAGTGCGTTGCCTTTCATGACATCCAACCGACGGGTAATTCAATCAAATGTTTACTTCATTTCAATTGAATTAACGCTTAATTGAATATACAATCACTTGTATTGACAGCTCCGACACATTTCCTCGTGATTCCCAGAAAAGCAATCACTGGTTTGTCCACCGCTGAGGAAGCAGATGAACAGGTATTGCAAGCGTTGATTTAGTCATTGATTAAATGTGCATGATCACTTGACCATGGTCATGGTCGTGTGTATGGCCGGGCTATTACTAATTGAGTCCCGAATGTGTTGACACTTAAACACTTGTAATGTTTTGTGAATTAAGTTTGTAATTAATGGTAACTTTGTATCAGATTTTGGGTCACTTGTTGTTTGTGGCGTCAAAAGTGGCTAAAGAGCAGGGATTACAAGACGGATATCGAGTTGTGATTAACAATGGAAAGAATGGCTGTCAGTCTGTATATCACATCCATCTGCATGTGATCGGTGGCCGACAACTGGGTTGGCCTCCGGGTTAGGGTTAGGCCGCACTCCCGCCGAACGGCGCAAACATAAAGACACGAAACACTTGTTCTCTTAATAATTCGTTGTCTTTATTGATAGTTAAAGAATTAATTAATGATATAATTGTATTGAATATGAAATGAATAAAAATTTTCAGAATTTATTTGTTATAATTTAGTATTGAAATCAATTTGATTGACAACTATTACAACGATTGGAAATCCAATTCTCTTCAGTAGTTTCCATGGCTTTACTGTTAATTGTATTCTCCAAATGTTGACCAAAATAATCAAACTTTTCTTCCTTTAAACGAAAAAATAATAATAAATGAATGTTTTATAATAATAATAATATAATTAATTAAATGGTTTACTCTTTGATCGTATTGTTTATGAATCAATTGAGTCATTTCATTGAAGATGTCGTGTATATTAAGATTGGATTTACAGCTGCACTCATAGAAGGGCACCGAATACTGTTCGGCCAACTTCTGGCCCGACTCGCAGTCCACAACTCGGAGCTGTTGGGCGTCACTCTTGTTGGCCACCAATACCTTAATTACATCCGCCGATGCATTCTATATATCGGATACTCATTTGATATTTACTTATATTTGAAAATAAATTGGTTTTGTTTTATAAATTTAATTCTCACACAAAAGTCATTTCTAAGAATACTTTCAAAGGGATTAAGTTTTACTTTTAAAGTGGAATGAAATTTGAAATGAATTTAATGTTACATTTCATTGTAAGACTTATAAGGTTTTACAAGGCATCTAGTTAATAATAGTCATAAGATGTTTGCTAACATGTAGTATTCAGGTATTAGTTGTGTAAGCGTTAAATCAATATAACGTAATGTTCTTTGAGAACAGATGTGAAATAAATGTAATGAAACGCAAATATTATAAATAAGTTATAAAAACCTCTTCAATGTTTTGAAACCAATATGGGATGTGTTTGAAAGAGTCAGTATTGGTCACGTCATACATCAAAATGATTCCCTGTTTTGATCCATCAATTGATTCATTTTATCAATTATTCAAATGCCAATCATATGCTTACCATCGCTCCCCTATAGTAGGCAGTGGTTAGTGTGCGGAACCTCTCCTGACCCGCAGAGTCCCTTCAATTGGCAAAAATATTGGCATTTGTTTTATTGAGAAATCGGTTTCATTTGATGTCTAATAATTACCAAATTTGTAATTTAATAGGAATATCATTGGATTTGATTAATTTTTGCTTAAAATCGATGCCTAATATCAATAATAGTAAAGTTATAATTTGAGAAAATATTGTAACAAATATAACATATTTTTACCAATTGTTGAAATGTAACCGTCGATGAAGTTTTCATCACAAAATCGGTGAACAATACATGTTTTGCCGACATTACTGTCGCCTAAGATTAGTATTTTAAATGTTAGAGCGTTTTGAGTTAATTGTGCCATTGATTAGTGATATGTATTTGAAAATATCGCAAAATCTATTTCACAATTCAAAAGCACTGTTGTGTTGAAGAATGGTTTCAAACAGTTTTGAAATAAACCTTTTCTAACCTCTAATTTATTGATTATTTTTGGTCCGAATGCGCAAAAACTACAACCAATACAATAGTTAAGCAAATATAAGGCTATGAATATAGAGATGAAGAGATGAATGAAGCGACGAATAAAAATAAAATCTGATTTTGAATTTGGTTTTGCAAATATTGTAAATTGCATTAAATGTGTAAAAATAATATGAAAAATAAATTGAAAGGAAATTGTATTGTATATAAACAAAGGTTTGTCTATTCATGAGAACAACTAATAAATTAAATTTATTTGTATTATATGTCAACAAATAAATTATAAAATATCATTAAGAGTACTAAAACTATAAATAATTAATTTTTTCATTTTAATTATTCATATGTGAAGAAAAGTTTTGCTATAATTTTGGATCATTTTTGAAAAGATGCCAAAAACTCATGAAAAGACTCTTCTCTGCATTACTCTTCAATTTAATTATTTTACTTTATTTATAAAATTTTATTGAATTAAATGAATTGTCTGTAAATATGGGATTATTATTAATTAACAAAATAATATTAGATTTGCAATCTTTCATACAAAATACAGAAATTAATTAATTAGATTTTAATCAAATTGATTGAAAACATGAGATTAACATATGGTAAACATGTAACTCGGAAACAGAAGATTGCATTAAAATTAATTAAAATCAAAGTTAATTATGTTAAGCGAAGGGAAAGACTAGTGTGGGAGACGTTGATTATACCATTACTTGTTTTAACACATTTAATGTATTTGTTTACAATATTTTCAAATTCTGTGTATATTTTAATTAATGTAAAGGGTATTACATTAATAGATTAAATAATGCAATATTAGTAATATTATACATAATGTATTACATATTAAAAATTGTCTGTAAAACACGTTTATTACAATTATTTAGTTTTCAAGACCTAAGAATATATGCTTTGATAAATTTATTTGAATTATAATTTAAAATTACTAAAAATTTATAAACTGTTAAAATTTAGAAACCTTTAACATCTAATATATTTTTATCAATCCTATAATAAAAATTTAAAAATAAAAAAATAATGCTTATTATTCTGTACAATAATATAACAACATTTACGTCAAGCATGTTTAAAAATTTATATGTTAATTAATATTCTCATATGTTATGCAAATTGACAACAAAATTTTGCATATTATATGCATTCATATTATATTATTGTATAAATTATAAATAAACAATACTAATTAGAATTAGCAACAACTGTATTCTAGAATTAATTAATAATTAAACATGTTTAAAACATAATGATGAACAATTTCATATGCACAACCTCGCTTAACATTTCAATGAAATGAATAAGAAATAATTTATAACAAAATCAGCTTAAGAAAATTACTATCTAGCTTGCACATCCTTCTTTCAAGGCCTGAAGTTTACATCAATTCTTGTTTTTAAAATAGACTTTTATAACCATTTCTCTATAAAATCCACTTATTTTGCAAATATTTCGCATATTGTTAACAATTTTTAACTACAATTCAGATATGAATGTGATTTATAGGATCGTTTGGCAAACCTTCCGCTTCCTCCTCCTCCTCCGCCATCACACTATGGCATTTAACATGAGATTACAGCTTAAGTCTATGGCTATACTTTAACATGGGGATAATGTTATCCTATGGATAATGTTAATCCTATGGGGCTAATGTTAAGTTTATAGTTGTGCAAAGTCTATGGCAATGCTGAGTCTATAGAACTAATACTAATCCTATGGACAAAACTATGTCTATGGGTAATGCTTTTCCTATGAGCTAAGTCTATGAGATCCTTTGAGCATCATCAGAAATTCTGATTCAGAATTGTGGTTAACGTATACCATCGCTGTGTGAACTTTGTTTTGTTATAAGAGATGATTTGCTGAACAAACATTATAATACAATACTGTATTACCATAAAAGAAAATATATTCAAGCTAAGAAGTTTCTAAACATGTTTTCTATATATATGGCTATAATAATTAGACTAAAATTATGCTTTTTATGCACTATTTGTATATATTAATGTATACTTCATGATTTGCATACATACTAATAGGTCTGTTAGCGTTAGTTTTCAATGTGATGTTGCAATATATATTAAAACCCCGTTGGTTGCTATAATAATAATACCTAAATGTATTTAATCGAGATGCCTTACTATATTAAAATATGGATATTTAATGCAACTTAAAACAGTTAACAGAATACTGTATGTCTTCAAATGTAATACCATTGCACATAATGGGCCAAAATATTTCCACTTTAGAAATACATTTCACATTTTAGATAAATTTATTATTCTAATGTAGAGCTGGTCTACCAATACATGCCTTTGCATTAACTCATAATGAGTTGACTCATTAACTCAACTCTATTCTAATTCAACAAAATTTTATTAAATGCATTCTTTTATATCTCTAATCATATAATTACTAACAAAATAAACTTAAGAATAGGATCTAAATGTTGGTCACTATTGGAGATTCGGTGACCAATGCTTACACAAGCGTTTTAGTGGCCAAACAATAGCAGCCATTACTGTAATGGCGAGTAATGATCGTTGAATTACGTGATAATTTGAGACTTGAGTCAAACGCTAACTCATATATTGTCGGGAATAAAGATTAATAGAAAAGACGTGACTTTTCTTCTCAATAATAGTGAGAGAAAACAAATGTCATCGAAGTCTCACTATTACTGCTTTTTTGGTGACAACAATATTATTTAATTTACGGCAAATATTAAGTTACATAAGACTAGTTGTTGTGTTAGAACTCATTAATATAAAAGTTATTTGTGATAATTGTTTAGTACAAGTTTTGTTATAAAGTGGTGAATAATGACAACAGACAAGTAAATCATATAATTTACATCATATGTTAGTTATATCTTCATATTATCTTCCTATCATGATGATTCTGTGATATCATATGATATTCTATTAATACATTATATAATAGAGATTTAAGAAAATAATTTTAAAATATCCACAACTATCATATTGTCGATTGTGTAAAAGAATCTCTCTCTCTCTCACTGACACTTTGTTTGTCATCTCTTTCTCATTTTAAAAACTTTTTTGTAAACAAATAATAATAATAATAACAAATATACATTTACAGGCAGAACTCTGTGCTGTGAATAGATCGGGTCCA